AGTGTTGCTGTTATTTTCTGATCGGCAATGCATTTCAGAGCAGATTGCAATGGCTGTGACTTGCGTGGGGCAGGGAGAGCAACCAGGAGCTTTGTGCAGGACAGGGACATGATGGCTCCCTGCAGGAAAGGGCTCAGGTAGAGCCCCGATCCAGAGCTCGCTGAAGGCAGTGCCGACCTTCCCGGGGGCTGCAGAGAATTTCTGAGCAGACCCTGAGTCATCAGGATACAGATGTGTTGTCGTGTCAGAAACAAGGGACTCACGGTGGGAGCTGGGAGCGGAGTGTGCCTGAGCACCCGACCCCATCACGGCACCCTTCCCCTTGCCAATGATGTTGTCAGGGCGGCGTGCGTCCCCGTAAGCTGGAAGTAAAAGCAATGAGGAGTGAACAAAGCCTAGCTCGCTTTAACAGAGCCGACTGCGGTTTCTGGATTTGCTCGATGTGGAGCATTAATTCAGAAAATCCCGTGGACGGCTTTGGGAAGAAGATGTGGTCACTTAGCGGCAGCGGGGGCACCATGCAGCCACTTGCCTCGCTGTTTGTCCCTTCCCCGTGCAAAACCAGGACCTGTTTCTAAGCCACCTGCAGCTCAGCTCTGCCTGCGTCAGCGTTGGCATCGTGCCGTGCTGCCCATGGCGGTATCTGGGTCTGTGGTTGCCTTCGAGACCAAAGGTGGGCGCAGACCCCCTCCCCAAGCCAACGTCAGCTTGAGCTTGGCACCGACACGGTATTGGGCTCAAACTTTGCATCCCCGGGGTTGTCGCAGAGGCCACGCAAAGCCCTGCGGATGCTGGGTGCAAACCAGCTGGTGGTGTTTTGTGCGGCTCGGCCCCCTCAGGGTCTGTACAGCAAGCGTTAAGTCTTGACTTCTGATGCCTCGTACAGACAGCTCCCGCCCTCCTCATCATCTTGTTATTATTCTAATGTCTGGGAGCTGCAGTCATGGACCAAAACACCATTAAACTATCTGAAATGGAGCAACTCGACAGCCCCTGCCCTCACAGGCTTATTATCTTTGCAGATGGATATTTTATATTTAGCAACCTCTAATGTATCAATTTGGGCTTTGATTTTTCGCAGGGAGCAGCTTCTATTCTGGTGCTCGGTAGTGGGTGCGCAAACTTCCACCGCAGGGGAACCGGCGGGGAGAAACCCTCCCTGACAAGCCCCGAACCTCTGGGGAGGGCAGGAGGGTCCCGTAGCCCTCAGAGGGCTCTGGGGAGGGGGTGGTTGGTGGGGAAGGGTTTGCCAGTGGTCCGGAGCTTGTTTGAACAGCGCTGGGAGCGCTTGGGGAATCCAAGCGGCGTGGTAGCGGTGGGCCAGGCAATTAATTAAGCTTGCAAGAGAGCGAGAGCCAGTGGCGCGTGGCTTTGCGGGAGGCATTTGGGGTGGCTGGTGTGTGGTGCGGAGGGAGGGATCTTATGGGGAAAAGGAGAACAGTTTAGGCTGGCCGAGCTCCCTGTGCATCCCACACTCTTTGTTTTCCCATGGGGGCCACGGGTGCAGCGGCGGGTCGGGACTTGCCGAGCGGGTGGCAAGGGCTGGACAGGAGGTGGTTGTGCTGGGCGATGCCGAACGGCACCTCCCGGGTCCCCTTCTGTCCTCGGGGCGCTGGGATGGCGTAGGCATGCTGTGGGGTCGCACACCCCACATCCATGGGTGCCAGGACGGATGGGAGAGGTGGGAGAAGGGGTACCGCGGGTGCCTCAGAGAGGAGACAGGGTGCCAGCAGAAGGGATCGGGAATGAAGACAAAGTGCCTCCTGCCCTCCGCACTGAGAATAAATATCAGGGATGACAGTGACGGAAACCCAGGCGGCGCAGTCCTGCCCTCGGGGAGCTATTGTGCAAGACCTGCCGTCACACGCTGCAGATGCCATTGTACCCGCGGCTAATTTGACGGTTTACATTGTTGGGAGAGGATTAGAGGAGCCGCCGCGTTTTGATGGTCTGCTTCTAATTTGCATCTTTAACGAAGCGGGAGCCCTGCCAGGTTCTGTTCTTTTGTGTTTACTTCTGAGGAAGTGTGTTTATTTCCGATGATTACAAATAAATCTCTTCTGCCTTTGCTCCAGCCGCCCGGAATAAAAGGCATTCGGAGCCTGTTAACTCTGTAGCTGGGGCGAGTACCGGAAGCAAAGGAGAAATCCCATTAGGAGTCCCCGGCAAATGTAATTAACAATTCCTTCTCAGACAAGGGTGCCGGGGTGTTTGTTCTGCCCCTGTGACACAGGTACTTTTGGTAGGAAACTTCCCAGAGTGAAGGACCACCCTGTCGCTGTCGAGGGGCTTCGCTCCCAATCCAGGTGAGATTCAGATCCAGAGCTATCTCACCTATCTCACCTAATCTCACCTATCCAGGTGAGATTCAGATCCAGAGCTATTTTAGCCACTGAAAACTGGGTCAGCCAGCCAGTTTGCGACTGGTTTCTGCATCTCCATTTGTCATTTTGACGAGGCACGTTGCCTACAGGAGAGAAAAGCAGTTTGGGGTTGAAAGTATTTAGAAGTAGAGCATTGTTGGTTTGCATAACAGAACGGGAGGGTTTTGGGTTGATCCAAAGACGAGCATCTCCCCCGAGCCTCTCGGCTCGGCCGGGAACAGCGGTCCCAGGTCTGTGGGTGCGAACCGGTCACCGGACTGCTTGGGGATGCGCATCAATGTTTTGGGGTCCCAAGCATCCCATCCCTCGGGATACTTTGCACCCACGGAGAGGGGTTTGCAAGACTTGCTTTATTCCTCCAACTCTTCCCGTGCCATTTATCCCTCCAAACTAGTGCCAGAAAACTTGTGCCGGCCCTGGACACGGTGTTTCCCTCACCACAGGGCAGGCGTCGAGGGCAGCCCCAGCCTCACGCTGCATGTGCAGCCCCAGGCTTGGCCCTCGTGCTCAGCTGAGTCAGCAGTGCAGGAAAGGTCTGCGACGTGGACCGGGAAAGGCGGGGGACGAAGGCGGCGGGTGTTATCTCACGTCCTGCATGTAGGAGAAGCGCTGTCAGTGTCATTGATGGGGCCGGGCAGGAGCCTGCCGTCGGAGCGATGCGGGGGTCTCTCCTAATAGGTCCGGGAGGAGGGAGACAGCCACTTTGTGCCATGAAACACAAAGAGCGCGTCAGCGGAGTTATCTGTATTGTTGACACTAAGTGAAATAATTCCTCGGCAAACTCCAAAATTAGCATTTATGGATGAGGAATAGGGGCAATTAGAGGGGAAGCGGCACGGCGCCGGTGCCCCCAGCTCCCTCCCTCATGCATCTTCTCGCGCTGCCGCATTCGGGTTCATCACCCGAGAGGCCATGTGCGTCAGTGTGAGCGTTGCGGGGGCCGCAGCTCGGGCAAAGCCCAGCATCCGAGGCTCCCTGGCAAGCCGCTCTGGCGGAGAGCAGTCGTGGTGGGAGGCAGCCGAAGGGCTGCAGATGGTGAAAAGTCTTTGCTCGAAGGCAGTGAGGGAAGTGAGATGCAGAGATGGAGGAACAGATGGGACAGGTCACGTTGCACGAAGAAGGGCTGCGTGGGGGAGCCGGGACGAGGCGGGTGCCGGGGGCTGTGGTTTGGGCTGACAAAATCAGTCCCAAGATATTCCCCCCGCCTTGCTGATGGGGGGTTCTCCAGGTGAACCGCGGAGCCAGGATGGGTTTATTTCCCTCCCGTCTTGACATGCGCTTTATTGTCTTTTGTCCCTTCTGGACTCATAAGGCAGGGTTTCTTCTGGAGATGGATAGGGTGCCTTCAGGAGACTGTTAATGGGGGTTTGTCTTTGTTCTTAATTAGATCCCTTCAAGGGAAAACCTCCTGGCCCGCTTTATTATGCAGCTTTGTCAGAGCTTGTCTGCTTTATCTAAACACTTTGCAGAAGTCTCTTTACCTGTTTGCTTACTGGAGACATTATCATAATCCTGGTCAATTGGAAATAGGTAGCAAAGACGGCTCGGCAGATGAGGGGGCGCTGGCTAACAGAGATCGCTTTCCAAGCCAGGTAAAGAAACTCGCAGTGGGAAGGTGAGGTCAGGCGAGAATGTGCCTCTGGAAATGCTGTGCTCTCTGTGGCAGTTGATGGACGGTGGCTTTTCTGCTGGTCGTTGCTCTGACACATTGCTAGGAGGTGCAGGAGGGCTGGTTTTTTGAAGGAGGGCAGTTTGTCTGGTCCCTCCCCACCTGCAGCTGCATGGGACAGCCCGGGCTCCAGTGGAGAGGAGCACGATGCTAAGCAAGCAGAGCCGAAGGGACTTGGTCCCAAATTAGCTATTCAGTGGCCAGGGATTGAAGAGTGAGCTCAAGGGATGGGGAGAAGGAGCCTTTGCCTCCTTGCTCTTGGCATGAGTTTGTTAGACGAAGGAGTCTCCAAGTTGCTCCTGCCCATTTGCTCTGAGTGGTTTCGAGGGTGGTACCGGTCACCAGGTGCTACGGGCAAGGGAGGGGGATGCTGTCCTTGCCCTTCCTTGTGTGAGCATGTCCGTCCATGTTATGGGCATCCCTGTGCACTTGTGCAGGTGTGGCTCTGAGCCATAAAGGTGAGCTGTAAATGCAGAACGAGTGACCCCAGTTCTCAGGGGTCCCGGACCGGCCCCAGATCTCCCCGGGAAGCACACCCGCTACACGCCAGCCAAAGCCGGGCAGTGGCGGGGGGGTGGCCGGTGACAGCACAAGCTCCTTATCCCTGTCACTTCAAACCCTAGTCCTTGTGCTTCACCCCTAATGAGGGGACCTGAGAGTACCTCGCAGGGCTGTAGTCTGGATATTTATATGAGCGCAGACATGCAAGTTGTCTGTTTTACATATTGCTGCCCTGATTTTCCAGTGCACGCAATGAATAATTTACAGAAGCCGTGTGTAAGTATCTCTTTATTATTCATTATAAAGAAGTGAGACAGCAGTAATAGTCCACTAGACTGGAATCCCCCAGGGCCAAACTTAACTCGGCTGCGCTTAGCTCTCCCCCAGTTAATTTGAACAAAGGAGGGCTTGGCTTCCCGACGAGGACGATGCCTTCTGCCGGCACGATGCCGCCTCGGTCCCGCGGAGCAGAGCCGGCACCACTGCGGGCACTGGGGCACGTCTGACACCTGGGCGGGCTGCCGGCATGCTGGCAGTGCCGCGGCGGGCACGGAGGGCCATCCATCTTTCCCGTACGCAACGTGGCTGGCAGAGACGTACAGCTCCTGCAAGGGGAAAATTACTTGTTTGCAGGAGGATATATGGCTCGTTCCTCTGAACCGAGCACCCGGGGGGACCCTCAAACATGCCAAGTATCGCCCCTTCCCTCCACCCGATTAATAATCTCGATCGAGGTGACGCTCTGCAATCCCAGTAAGGGAGGCATATAACACCCCCAAAGCCTCTGCAGTAGCGGTGCCACGGCGGGGACGAGGACAGGGACAGCCCCACAGCCCGCCTCTGAATTTGCAGGCGTGCAGAGAGGGACTTACACGAGTTTCTTGATTGACTGTAGGCACCTTTCCCCTAAGATCTCGGCTGCACAAAGCTGCGGCAGCGCTGCTGCCGGCGGCACAAGCTTGCACTTAGGTTCGCTTTCCCGGTTTGCTTTCACACCGAGAGAAAGCTCCCCTACCGCGGTCCTTGGGTGGGAAAGGCAAAGCTCCCGAGAAATGCTGGGCTCTTAATTTAGCCAAATGCTTGTCGGTTTTGCTGCGGGTGCTGCGGCGGCGGCAGAGAAGGCCACAAGTAAATAGATCGAGAAAAATCTATCAAACGGAATGAAAAAGCTGCTTTCTCCAGGAACATTTGAATTCCCTCCCCCCCCCGCCCCTCTGTTCTTTGCCAAGCGTAAGTCAGCGCCGCGGGCCGGAGCTGCTGAGCCCCCCCATGTCTTGGAGCGGGGAAGGTGGGAGCCAGGCAGGAGATAAATAATGGAAGCGATCGCGTTGTGTTTTCCAGGCACTTGTAGGATTTACAGCTGCTTATCCAAATGTTTCCCCTCTCTTCGATGTGTGCTGGCTTCGCTGTCTCTGGCTGTTTCTCTTCTTCCCTTCTCCCCGTGTGTGTCGCGGCCCTTCTCCCCTGGCAGCGGGTGTGTATATCACCCTGGGGATGGCTCGAGGGCCGTGCTGACAAGCCAAACCGTCAGCAAATTTTACAGCTTCACCTGAAATTCTCCACGCGCAGCCAGGGCGAGGCGGGGCGGTGGAGGTGGGCAAGTGGGGGGGCACAGAAAGTCTGCACGGCTTGCGGAGGTCAAACGTTAATGGGATTTTCATCTGTGGCTCCCCAGCTCCGTATAAAAGAAAAAGACAGGGCTTTTTTTCTGGTGAACCTGCCATTTCTGTGAAATCTCAGGTGATGGAGGGATGCAGGACGTAGCAGCAGGGTAGCCCAGACGTGGTGCACGCCATCTCTGTGCCGGCGGTCCGGCTGTGTGTGACAGAGAGCCAGCGCCACAGCTCCCATCCTGCTCGCATCCCCTTTTGGGAGCCGGGATACTCACCGTACGTTGCGCCCCCACATTTGTGACCCTCTGTCTCTTCCTTTGCAGGTGTACCGTGGATGACAGGGTCACACGAGTAGCGTGGTTGAACCGCAGCACCATCCTGTACGCCGGCAATGACAAGTGGTCTATAGACAACCGCGTGGTCATCCTTTCCAACACCAAGACCCAGTACAGCATCAAGATACACAACGTGGATGTCTATGATGAGGGCCCCTACACCTGCTCCGTGCAGACAGACAATCACCCCAAGACTTCGCGCGTCCATCTCATTGTGCAAGGTAGGTCTTAACATACTATTGCCAAACCGACCGTTTGATATGGAAGGATGTCTGGATTTGCGAAGAGTTTGGAGGCCGCCTTGGTGATGGAGATGTAGGGATCAGACCAGCATCATGCTTTGGGGGTTGAGCCGCTTGGGGACAGGGGTGTTGACAACTGCCTGCCATGACGGGGAGGAGATGGACTTGCGTCATCTCAGCCTCGTTGTGTTGTACGGTCATCACGTGGGGCAGAGGACACCAGGGAACTGAAATTGGGGCTGGCGTCCTCCTCCTTCTCCCCCCTTGCCTGTGCCTGCTGTGAATTTGACCCATCCCTGCTGCTCGGCACCCACATTACTCGGCTCGCTGCGTCGGAGAGTCGTTAGTAAGGTGCTCGGGCACGCGTCCAAAGATGCTTCGGGAGAGCCGAAAGCAAAATGCTGCCAGGTGTGGTGGAGGAGCAGACTCCAACAGCACGAGGCTCCTTGGTTTTGGGAGAGAGGGCAGAGCGCGTCAGCCTGTTGAAGTCACTGCAGGGCCACGAAGGGCTGTTGGCAAAGGGCTTTGTAGGCGAGTGTGTCAGCGTAGCAGATGCTGTTGGGTTGCAAAGCATCGTTCCTGAGGCTGCTCTGACCTGGGGATCCAGGTGCCGGCAGATCAGAGGTGCCCGTAGCACCAGTGGACACCACCTTTGGATCCTTGCAGCTTTGCACCGGCTACAGGCTTTTGTCTGGTCTCTAGATTAATTTTTCAGAGTTAGTGTTAGTTCAGGTTAGATAAAGATAATGAAAGTTTCCTAATCCTCTTAAAGAAGATTTATCCGGCTGAGTAGAAAGCTCTCGGAATACAATAAAGCGTGTATAAAACCAGGACCTAATCTTTCCTTTAATTTCAAACAGCTGATGGGTATTGATTTTGCAATGAGCAAATCTGAAAAATTTCTCAGCCTCGACATGTCTCCGAGAAGCCCCCAGCACAGATATGTATGTATTTATGTATCCTTCTCATTTGGAGGAGGCAAGGTTTGATTGCGGCCACCCGTCCAAGTGATTTTCCTGCCAGGTCTTGGCGGGAGCGTGTCGGGGGGGCCCCACACTGGGCAGCGCTTGCCTTGGGAAGAGGGAAGCAGAGGACCGCCGGGAGCATCCCCTCCATCCCCTTTTGCGGGGCCCCTCTCCCCCTTTTTGAGTTGTGTGTGAGCTGTCCATCTGCAAAGCTTAATCTGTTTATCCTGTCTGCTCTCTAATCGTGCTAATCCATCCAGTCAACACCAGTGAAGTATCTGAGTGCTTTGCACCTAATGAAATCAGGCGAACCGGCAGCAACGCTCAGCGCCTGGTCCCCTCGCCCCTTTTTCGGAGCGGGGTCTGCGACATAGGCGCTTGCCAGGCTTGGGCGGGTGAAGGCAAGGGATAGTTTGCATCCAGAGCGACGGTCTGACGGCAAGGTGTCCTGGGAAAACTTTTCATCCAGCATAAGCAAGCCATGTTGAATTGCTCCCACCGCAGCAATGACTGTGGTTGTCAGCTGTGCTGCATCTCTGCAGCTGCAGGGAAGCCTGAGAGGAGCTGGAGATGTACAGTTACACAGGCTGAGCTCAAGTAGACCATGCTCAGAAGTTTCTGTATTTCTCTCTTAGCTTCTGCTAAGCTCAAGCCACGCGGTTTGCCTAAGTTGTTATGCCAAGAAAATCCATCCGTAGATGCTACCTTGCTGTCCCGTTGATGGTGGTGTCCAGAAAAGCAAATCCTTCCTTGTTCTGTTCTCACTTCACCTCCAGCGCAGTTGTCTGCTGGCTAAAACATGCTTTCCAGTGGCTCGGAGCGAGTGGGGTTGCCCACCAGCACAGCCGGCGCAGCCAAGGGCTGTTAGCCTCCATGCTTGCATGCCGGGGAAGAACCAGTTTTCTACAAGGGTGACTAACACATAGCCCTTTGTTCTGTGCTGGGAGGAAGGGAGTGGTTTTCCAAGGGTGCATTCGGTCCTGGCTGTGCATGCAAGCAGAGCACACGCTTTGCAGGGAAGGAGTGAAGCCCTCTTTCTGTTGTAGCCCTCCTGGCCTTAAATATTGGCTTAAAAACGAGGTATGGGGTCTTCCTTCATCAAGGAGGCAGCCATCCCAGCAGCAAGGGCAGGAGGACCACAGGGGATGGCCATGCACGCCCTGGCGTCATGCCTCACCTGTGCCAGCTGGCCAGCGAGCAGGCAGTAATGACCGGTTAGCAACCGTGTTCGGGTCAATTAATTTATATTTGTATTTTGCAAAACTAAAAGTTGGCCGGATAAAGTATTGATTCTTTGTCCCTGTATTCAATCGGGTTTTAATTGTGCTACTGCAGGGCCCGGCCTTCCCTCTTAGCAACATGGCGATAAATCTGCCAGGGAGTCGCAGTCAACAGTAAATGTGTCTCTTAGTGTCATTATTAATACGTCTCTTGGACTGGTTCATTGCAACAGCCGTTAACAAGGGTTTATAAGAGTGCAGGTGGCAGGAAGCCAGAGGGGTTTTTTTGTCTCCCTTTTCCTCTTTTTTTTTGGGGCGTCACCTGGTGACGATGGGACGGATGATTTTAGGGACGTGCGCGGTGCTCATGGCATGCTGGTGTGTCGTGGGGAGAGTTACGAATGTAGAGAGAACTGACATTTAATCTCGTATAAGTAGAAGATGAGCCACCTCATCCTCCTCTTGCCATAAGCAGCTTGAGCGGAGGATGCCATGGGGCTGGACCTCGGGTCAGCCCTCCTGCCTCCATGTATGACCCCCCGTGAAGCCCACCTCAGCTCCTGGGAGGTGCAAGCTTGCAGGGACAAGCCGGGAGACCTTACCACATCGTGCTGCAAAATGGTTTCGGTGCAAGGAGCATGGTAGCCTGTAGCCGGGGCTCCGCCGTGCCTCCTTGACGTGGGCCATTTCAGGACACAGGGTATATTTCAGTCTGAAAAGCAGAGCTCAGGGTCAATGTTTTGGCCAAGTCTGTGGCTCTTGCAGCCAGTGCCCCAGGAAAGAGAAAGCCTGGCGTCCTCCTCATAGGAGCGGCTGTAGAGAGGAGGGCGTACGTGCCGAGGCAGCGTAGCGAAGCATGGTGTCACTTTGGGATCTGCGCGCTGCACGGTACCCTGTCTGGCGGAGGTCTCGGCGGTGGACGTCGATACTGGCCGTTGCTTTGGTATTCCTCAGGTGTCCGCTGTTTCTGATTTATTTAGAGAACCCTTCTCTGTACTGCCTTAATTCTACTCGCCATAGATTTTTCATTAAAACCTCTCCCGGCTGTCGGCATTGTTACTGTTAGTTTCTGGTTGGCGTAATCCATTTTCCCGTCTCGGCATTTGCTGCTTTGCCAGGGCAGGTTTCGAAGGACCGTGGCCTTCGTTCACAGTAGTGAGGTTGTGGTCGTGCAGTTGGTTTTCTAATGCACGTAAGGATGCTCTCCTTGGAGCTGGTCCTGTGTCCATTGTAGCATCTGCCGCCTCTCAAAGTGGCACCGCCGCACGTGTAGCTCTTCAGCAAGTGTCTTGAAAGCAAATTGAGTCTTTATTTTTTCCTTTTTACTGATAACAACTGGCTCCTCGAGTCTCCAAAAGGGCAACCCCCCCGCCCCATGCTGGCCCTGTTAAGCTCTTCTTCCCTGATGCGGATCGTGCTCTGGGCTCCCCCTTGGCACCACAGATTTCACGACGGCTGCAGTTAAGCTTGCTTTTATCATGCTACCTTTGATATCCAGGCAGGAGCTGAGACTGCGATACTTATTAAAACCTTACCAGGAGGCTGCATGGTGTACGATGAGGCGAGGGGAGCAGCTCAGCCTTCTTTGGTCGTCGTAGGAAAGACCTGATAATAGGCTCTAAACGAAGAAAGTGCTTAGTATTTAGACGCTGGAGAGTTTGGCGTAAGGGGCGTGTACGTGGTGTACAGAAGCAGATGCAGCTCAGCCCGGAGGAAAGGGTGAGAGGCAGCAATGCAGGCTGCGACCTCTGGAGCAGGCTTGCCTCCCTGCTCTGGAGATTCATCTGCACTTGGGATACCTTACCGGGTGGTTTGGGGTTTTTTTGTCTACCTAAGAAACAAGTGAGGAAAAGAGATGATGTGCAGTAAATGTGCTGCAAAAAGTCTGATACAAAATGTTGGCAGAGGTTTCTGTTGCTTCATGTAGTGTGCTGGACTGGCAAGATTTGACATACATCTTGGATTGCAGGAATGGCGAAGGTGGCTCTTGGGGCTTGGGGCACATCTCTGTCTT